GGCTTTCTTATGCCGGCACCAGCGTCTAGAGCGTATAAGACTCGTACTTTGGGTAGCACTGGATGCGCTGCAAGTCGTCCAGCTTGCTCTCGGCGAGCCGCAGGCTGCACGCGAACACGTTCCTGAGCAGGGGGGGCCTCGAAGACGGGTCCGCCGGCACGAACCCGGAACCCCGGACGGCCGCCATCAGAGACTCCAGGCTGAACCACGCCAGCTCGGTCTTCTCGAGGAACTTGCGATTCGCCTTCATATACCTGAGGAACCTCATCGTCCTCTCGAAAGACCGAGGATACGAGCTGAGGAAGGGGATGTGGACTATGTACATCCTGTACACGTTCCCGCCCATGGTCCTGGAGACGACGACGTCGTGGCACGCGTCCTCCTGCAGCCTCGCGGCGCAGGCGTCCAGGTCCAGGACGCTCCCGGCCGTCTCCTCGTAGAACTCTCGCACCGCCGTCCGTTTCGGGTCGTCCTCGTCCACGCACTCCGCCTTTCCCCCAAAGTCGCTGAAGGCACCGTCCGCCCTGTCCCGTCCGAGCAAGAAGTACACCGTTCCGTTCTTTATCGTGAACGGAAGGACACCAGCCGAATAGCTCATCGTCGCACCGTGGAGGCATGGACCCCCTCTACCATATCAGGGCCCTTTTATTTTGCCCGGCCCCCGCGTCCGACTGCTCTCACGATCCCTGCAGCGGAACCAGCACTAGCACGTCGTCGGTGGTCGAGTCCTCGTGCACCTTCTGCACGATAAGCTGACCCTCCCCGTCGATGGCAAACTTATAAGCGAACGGCACGCCGTCGATGACCCGGCTTATCTGCAAGTCACCCCCGTTGAGCTTCCAGTAGGGGTCCAGCATGTTGGAGTCCCCGCCGTTCCAAGTGAGCGACAGGCTCCGAGGGTCCTGCGGGTAGTCGGTCCCCCGGATCAGGAGGCCGCTGCCGGTCATGTCCACGTTGGACCCGTCGGGAAACCTGCCCAAGGTGACGGTCTTGAGCTCGCCTATGATCAGGTTGTTGTCCCACAACAGATTCGAATCGGGATCCACGTAGGTGAGTGATCCGGAGATCTCCACGTCCCCGTTGAGCACGATGCGCCCGACGGGGGAAGCTCGCAGGATCAGATCGCTCTGGTTGTCCGGCTGGATCAGCTTCGCGGCGACCACGTCCGAGTCGCCCGTCGCGGGGTTCAATATGCCCGCCAGCATCGAGTTGCCGTAGACCGTGAGGTCGTTGTGCACGATCACCTGCTTCCC